CGATAATCAAATCCCACCTCATTTCCGTTCCCCCCTCTTTCTTTCCTCCCTCCCTCCCTTTCTCTTTCTACTTCTGTGCCCCCTTATAGAGTAGCATTGTGGTCACTGAAACGGGAAATTAAGTCCCCGAAGCGGGAGTTGGAGAAACGACTGGCTGTTATTGCTAATAACAATTCGAAGACTTTCTTTCAGTATGCATGAAGTAGAAGTGAACATTCCATCGCGTCCCTAAATGGTGCCACGTGGGAGTTTGCAGCAGATAGTGAAGGAATGGCCACGATCCTCAACAATTTCTTTGCTTATGTGTTCACGGGGGAATCCGATGACGTTCCGTCGTTAACGGATGTCATCGCTGCGTGTGTCAAGGATGTAATAATCGCCGATAAAATCATGTGTAGGATGAGAAAGCTGAGGGAGGATAGGCAACCGGCCTCGTTGGGATTCTGGCTCGTGTCATGAAGGAAGTCAAGGTCACTGCGGCAAACGTCGCAGAGGTGACACCTGACCATGGTATCTTCGCTATGTCTTCCCTCAGTTCATCTGGTCTATGAGCTTTTGAGACAACAGGTTTAGAAGATCTTCCAAGCATAACTTCATTTATTGGCCCGGTTTTGCATACACATTGAGTACAATAACTCGTACCAATTGAAGAATGTATTTGACGTCAAAATGGTAAATCAAATTCTTTCCATTTCCCATAATAAGTTTTATCGTGTACACGTGCTTTAAGATTAAATTTAAGCTAAAGAGAGATCGTTCCCGCATGGACGAGTTTTTTGCGAATACTTCTACGAAATGGTGATATTTTGCCTAGGAAGTACTCCCGGACAATATTCATCCATGGAACCAATTTAGTAAATAGCAAGCTCACGGATGAATCCCTGAAAGTCTGGATGTATTCCAACTTTTCCAAGATCAGGAGTTAGCATGCTAATCGATTTTTAAATTGCATGAGGTTAAAATAGTATTCTGAAGTCAAACTAAGAGCCAGTCATAGATGAATGGAAAGTTTAACGAGCCTATATTAGCCAGTAATCGAAAGTTTTCATTCGTCAAATCACCATGGTTCACTTCGAAATGTGAATTTGAATCTAATTGCTCCTCCTCATGGTGACTTGGATCTTCTTGATGATGTCACCGCGATCCATTTCTCTCAGGGTTTCGATTACATGGCCATACTGCTCCTCGGCTTCTCCTATGAGGAGTACTTCGAATCAGGCCTCAATTTTGCTCTGTAGGTTCGCTTCTGTCTTATATCCTTTTCGTCTATAACAGACAAGACCCATCTTCTTGCAAGAATGTCGAGGAAGCGTTCCAAGTTCATGATGACGTTCTTGTCTTTCAATACGTCAAAACTGGGCATCACGATTATCATCAGATGGCCCCGTGACCCCTGTGAAAATTTTACAAGAACACATTATAAATATTGTAAGGAAAATCTTTTTTCCAACCATTGTCGCGCACGCTAGGTTGTATAGAACATGAGAGCGTCAGAAACACCCTATCCAAGAGATGCTCTTCATGTTCATTATTCATTTCCTCCTTCCTCTGCCAAGATCTGAGTTTTTTTCTCAACTATCTTAGAATGTCCAATGCATCAGCGTTGTACAAGGTGTCTAATTAGAAGTACAGTGATTTTCTTTTGAATAAATCTGTGACGGATATAAAAGATACTTAATTCTTATGGATTTTTAGCCGGAATTTGGAGATAAAAATTTAAAAAGTGTACATCCCAGAACAAGGACTAGGCCCTGATTTATATGCAACGGAGTATCAAAGTGGTGCATGTCAGATGCTGAGGCGTGTGTAAATGCTGAGTACGGATGCAGCAAGACAGAAGCTGACCCGGTTTATTATTAGCATACCTTGCAAGAAATCCCTGATACTCTCTCTGTTAATGTCCACCAGTGCCTCATAGAACTTGGGGATGCATTCTTGTGGGTTTTTCATGAAGAGGATGTCAAAGAATTCTTCAAATTGTTCAGGAAGGTATGGCTTCATACGAATCTGTTGATCTTCTATGAATGTGATAACATTCCTGTGCATTAAACTGGGGAGTAAATCATTTGGATTGAGGGCGAAGTGATCCCTTAGCTTCAGCCTGTTCCGTCTGATCCTGTCCCACGATAACATCCGTTCTGTGGAGAAAAAAGAACTCAAATACTCCCAATGTACAATGATTACATGAATTGAACTAATGTTTCCTACTCTTGACTTCGTGCTGCCATAACTCTTAAAAACACGACATAGTATCTGATTTTCAATACCTTTCACGATAGCAATGGCTTCTCTCTTTTTTGTTTGACATAGCTTTCTCATAAAGTGAATGAATGTAGTCGATGGAAATATCCCTGAAGAGGTTCTTCAGAAGTTTGTGATATTATTCTGGCTCTAATATAGGCTCAGCTCCTCGGTTTACCCATTCTTTTTTTTATTCCTCAAGGTTCTCACCAATCGCTGCTGAGAGACATCTAGGGTGAGCGGAAATTCGGTTCTCATGGTGATGAATACGCTTGGTTATGATTGACTAACGCATAACATCGTGTACAGCTCTGAAAGACCATTCTAGCAATAAAGCACAAGACTAAGTTCATTCAATTGAATAAAAAATGATTTATTTGAATATTATATATTTTAAATTGAAAACAAAGGTTATTAAAAAAAAGACGCATCAAATCATATATCGTTACTAGCAAGTTTGGCCCTTCAGGCAAACAAACTCGCTGTGGTGGCGCCTTCGGCTCTCCATTGTCCAATATTCATTCATTAATTCATTCAATGCATAGGTGCCATCTTTGCTTGGGCTTCGGCTTTATCGGGATTCAGACTCCATACTCATATTTCGCTCCATTTCATATTTTTATTTTTATTTTTTCTTGAACCGTGAATAAATGATTCAGTCACCAAAAGAAACGCGTAAACACGCAAACGAGCACGTTTTTTGTAAGCACGTTATTTTTAAAAGTGCTGCCAAGCATATTATGTTTTTCCACTATTAAGTAAACAATGTTGCTCTGTAGGTACTCAATGCTGCTCATGTTTCATTACAGGGAGCAAAGAAAGAATTCCATATTCTTGTGGGTAAAACAGGGGTCGTTTTCGCTATTGGAGGAACGTGGGGTTAGAGCCTGCAGAAGCTGTGGCTCGGCCCGATCGCTCCCTCCCTCCCGACCCGACTCGAGAGCCGTCTAGGGCCGAACTGTGAAACATCCATCTTCAGCTTTTAACATTTACGTGTTATGGTTCATCTGGTCTGAGACCATGGGAACTCAGTGGCATAACTGGAATCTTATTTATGCTTTTAATATGTGAGAAGGTAAATAGTACATTTTTGACAATGAATGGATATAATGGAAGTATGATGTTTAAATGGGCATAAGACAGTCTGTGCCTTATGAGGCTCTTTCTCTTAGAAAGAAATATTCTCCTGTCAGTCGAATATCGACGGGCTCCTGTTGGACGCTGTTGTTGTACGCAAAAACAACTTGGAATGATGAGTAAATACACAGGAAAACATGAATTACAAATTTAAGGTCGGGAGTGGGCCATGAGATTGGGTTGGAATTCGGGTTTCAAGATCAGAGTCAAAATCAAAGGGTTTCGAAGCCGTCTTGCTTCAGCCAATGATTATCAAGGGTCCCAAGGGCAAACATTGGTTTGTACCTTCCTGAGCTTGTATTTTTTCATGGAAAATTGTATTCAGCCTATGAGTGTGGTACTTGTAAAACGTTGATGTAAATATACAGTTTGGACCCTGGGTACCAGAAAGTTGGCCCGCGCAAGACTACCGGGAGTAGTAGCATCGTGGTGGAAAAATTCAAAAGTTTAAAACGTCGTTCTGTTACCTCGTCGTTCGCGACGTGCAGTCAATGTAAAGAGTCCTGTCATCAGTTCAGATCCGATTCACGAAGAAATTTGCTTGAGGGACTCATGTGGGCGAAGCTCAAGTCTAACCCTCGGAACTAGGGCAGAGCGCAATTTTTTCCGAAGTTCCCTCACTTTTGGAACACCCTGTAACAATGCCGTTCTGTAGTCACTTCCGGTGTTTCATTCCAGGGAGTGAAGAAAGAATTCGAAATGTTTCGTTGATAAAACAGAAGTCGTTTTCGCTATCGTAGGAATCCGGGGTTAGAGCCCAGTAACTGCTTCAGCCATTCCTGAACGCACCGATCCGACGCGACGCGACCCAGGGACCGTCTAAGGTCGAACATTTCACGATCCTTTTCGGGTCGGGTAGAGTCGAGCCGAATTTCCCGTTTGAATTCAAGTTTCGGGTCGGTGCGGACCATGACTCCAATCGGGCCTATCGGGTCGAGCCCCGGTAAATCGGCCTGTGCAGGACTCCGCAAGTGTAGCATGAGGTGAACATTTTGATAGCACATCCTGCCTTGAATATATTTCAAATCTGATTGCTAAATACACCCCTCTTTACCATAGGCTATCGAACGATGCATAACATGTCAGGATATATATTAGCATATCTTCACAGCGCGGCTTACAAACATACATTAACGTATCTAATATATATACTCGTAGACGATCGTGACTGATTGACGCTATGTCTAACCATGTTCTAGGAGGGTTAGAAATCTGAAACTTGGCACACGTGTACCTTTTAGGATGCAGAGTTCAGAAAAAATCCGACTTTGGAGGTACATGCCCTGGGGTTACAAGTTTTTTTGGGGGAATCGTTTATTTTAATTATATTTCGTGACATAAGAGGATGGTATTCAGAGAGACAACTGGTTGTGCTGGGTTCGGTGGTGTAGAAGTAGCATCTCTGACTGGCAATCAAAAGATCTGGGTCCTGACCCTGGCATTCCTTGGCTCTCTTTTGCCTTTTGGCATTCCATGTCCCGTTTCTCATTTCCCCTCCGTAAGATTATTTTTGCTTGAGTAAAACGGAGAGGCATGGAAAGCAGAAACTTGGCATGGACGTGCCTACCAAGACGATGAGTTCAGGAAAAATGAAACATTTTAGATCCATGCCCTGGAGCAGATTTTTGTGAACCGACGTTTTCAAGTATTTCTTTGTCCTAGCGTATCGAGGTAGTGTGGAAAGATGAAACTTGGTACATAACTACCTATTGGGATGAAGCAGAAAACTTCAGACTTTAGAAGTAAATGCCCTGGGGGCACCATTTTCAAAGGGAGATGTTCTCAACTAATTTTTTTTGCCTCAGTTAAACTGATGAACATGGAAAGATGAAACTTTGCATGAATGTAACTACTGAGACAAGGAGTTAAATAAAAATGTTAAGTTTCGATACGTCCCCTGGGGGAATTTTTTCGATGGGCAATGTTTGGAAAAAAAATTGTTGTGGCGAATTGGACAGAAATGGAAAGGTGAAACTTGGCACACGTATAAATGACATGATAATACTGAGCTGAGGGAGTATTCAGCTTGCATGGCCCCTCCCCTCCGGGAATAGCTTTTGGTTGGGTCGGTTTTTCCAATCATGTTTTTTCACCAGCGAAAATGGCAAAACGTATCGTATTGCATCTTTGTGGGCATGTATTAATTGTTCACCGGGCAGACATAGAACTTTAGCTGGCGCACGCATCACTGACGTGATGTTGATTTAAGGAAAAATTAAACATTTTTTTATACATCTCCTCAGAGCACAGCTTTTGGTTGGGTCGCTTTTCCAAATACATTTTTTCCACCAGCAAAAAGGGGAAACGATAATGGCTGAAATTGGGTGGCATGGAGTTCCCTGAGTCTACATTAAAAAAAAAATTTACGTTAAAACCCATCAGGGCCCTTATTTTTAGTCCCATTTTCCTGATATTTTTTTGATCCAACGAAACAGAGAATGAAAATTTAAACTTCTCTCAAAAGCACCTATTTGATGGCTGAGTACAGGAAAAATCTTACTTTTGAAATATGTTCCATTATCGTAGATTATAGGAGGGAAATATATCAAAATGTATTATCCACCCTTACCAAAAGGGACACATGAAAATATCTCAAGTTAGGCACACTAGAAATGATGAAATTAATGATTTTGATAAAATTTGAGACTTTAATCACCATATGTCAAGTATTTCAATGGTGACGCACTTTAAATAGGTGCTTGCCATTTCGTAACTAATACATGAGGTAATCACTACCCAAGATAATGGAGCGCCGATGGCGAGACCAGAGCGAGTTCGTTTATCGCTATGGTCAACTCGCTAGGTCAACTAAACTCGCTAGTTATATATACAGATTCTTCGCAACTTAGTGACAGTTTCAATGCATTGGACATAGTAACTTTATTTTTGGCTTTCATTACTCTACAGGACGTCTTTCAGCGGACACTTTCAAGAAGTAAGAGGCAAGTGGCATTCACATGATCACAATCTAATATATACTAGCGGCCTGCGGCCGCTACGCTGGCCGTCTAATCGGAGGAAATTTGAATCGTCTTTTTTGTGCTTAACGTCTCCTTGACAATTCTCTGTTCATCGCATTACACATTCGGAACTGAACCGCTTTATTACATTTATCTACAGTACGCAACGATATTCTTCTCCTAAACTCCATCATTATGATATTCGAGCTGATCGTCACAATCGCCATTGTGAACGCCTCGGTTTAGCACGTTTTCATGAGACTCAAGACGACATTGCTGATTTCGTCTTCCGAACACATTCAACACTCTTGCATCACCGATTAGCTCATCGGCTATTAGCGTTAGCGTATGGTGCAGACACCATTGATTCTGAAACAATACGGACCGTCTCCAAGAAATTGTTCGACGGCACAGAGGGAAGTAAGTGCACGTGCGGCACAATGCTAAACACTAATTCCTAAAAATGCCAACCTTGCATCAAGTTCCTTAGCAGGCTGCACGGCTCTACTATTCCGAAGCTCAGCATTCACTGCCTCTTGCGGTTCAGCGGTCTGAGCGGCCCGAAGCTCCCTACGTACATGTGATTGCTGTTTATCACCGATTCTAGCCATCAGGGCTAGCACCGATTTAAGCACTTCGCACCGCAATTGCCGTGGCAAACGTTTTTTTCCGCGCCAGCACCAATCGTTTTTTACCAGCAACGACTGCCTCATCGCCAACCTGTGGGAACTCCTCCAACATTTCTTATTTGTGTTCAACCTCACCTCGCAAAAATCGCCACCATATTGATTGGAGGTGAACCTCGTTTGCGCGACATATGAATAGAGCCTTTTTAGACTATTATTTTCACTTCATCAATCATGAGAACTCAAATAAATTGGCCATGAAACGCAAATAGAAAACTATTGCATGTAAGCGATGGCGCGAACCGCCACATCTGACCTGACGGAAAAAATAAATACAGAAAAAAAAACACATCAACAAGGAAAACATTCAAATGAAGAACTTCCAGTCGATCAGTGAAAACGTGACACGCATTCTGTCAGTAACACCCTTCGTTTAAGACAGCTAAGTACGAAGCCTAT